TTTGCTTCTTTATATGTTATTCTTATTAGTTATTTAATTTGTCACTGTCAAAGAAGATTATTGGTACCAGCTGGATCGCCCATGCACACAGCATATATTGAAGGGAAATTTAAGAGCTATCTATAGGCTATGCTGGTAGCTTTCTATAATATATATATATATATATATAGATTATAAGTTGTTCAAATTGTAATCTTTTGTGTGGATATAATAATAATAATAATAAATGATACAATAATAAATGATATTGTTATATATATATATATATATATATATATATATATGAACCAAAGATATAATATCAATAATAATGATAATGACATGTATCATCATACAAGAATTACAAGCTCATTTTCCCCTTCAGTTCAAATGGCCAGCTCAAGTGTTATCCGACATGCATAGCTAAATAATGTATATGACCTACCTTGTATATGTAATATGAAAATGATACTTACAAGTTAAAGGTAATCTGATAATATACTGGACAATAATGTCATTATTCTCTGTGCGTTTGGTAATTGAGATTGATGCAAGGTGGAAGAAAATTTTAATTTTCAATGATATATAATGTCTGCTAAACCGTGTACTAAGTGGAAAAATTTTCAATTATATATTTATTTCCTTGTAATTTTTTACTGGGTATCATTGATTTTTAACATACACCACAAATTAATATTATGGTAAAATATCCAGACAAAAAAATCCATTAAAATTTGACTTTCCCTCATAGTATTAAGTTCTATATCTTTTGACAGTTATAATATATACATTGAACTTTTCAAGTGGACTTTTTTCAACGAGAAGAGAAAGTGTTTTTTAAACTAAATATTTTTTCTGATAGACTATTTTTGCTGAGTTTCAAAAAAGATCATTACAGAATTTAAAAAAAAAATTAATATATATATATATATATATAATTAAAATAATATTACAAAAATTATAGTATAGGAATAGCATAGATTGAAACAACTCGATGTACAAATCAACTAATAAAGAACTATTTCGGCTTAATAAAAAAATTCAAATATGCAGTTGAGTTAGGTATTTATAAAAATAAATTGTTGTTCATAATTATCTTAATAAACTCAAATAAGATGTATTTATAGTGACTGGAGAAAGAAAAAGAAAAAAATTGAAATAAACATTTTAGATCTGTTGTTGAAATGAAATGGGCGATGCTGGTTGGACAATGGTTTAGAGGTGATCCTGGTGCAAGATCTGGTCTGGTGGTACAGTACAACTAGCACTAAACATAAAACATTAATCATTATCCTAAGAAGCCTACACCATCATAAATTCTTGCATATCCCTAGAGACTACTGATGAGAGCTGTACACTGTGGACCCACCTTGTGTTTCCAGGGCTTTGCTTCTGTACAGTTCACGAGAATCAAATTCAGTGACGACCAATGAAGATCTACAATGTGAAGAATTAATTTCATGATATTAAACTCCCAATGGTATAATTCCAGACTCAAAATATACGTAAAAGATGAAATACTTTCTGGCAGGAAAGTAGCCACTGTTTTTATCACACTATTCTAATTCACGTTCCTGTCATATAGATTAATTACATACTAAGTTGATAAATACTTCATACTAATAATATATTTATGAAAAAAAAATATCTATATTTCATCACATTTTCTTTATTTTTCTAGGTCTCAAATAGTATATAAGGTATCCACAGATTATTTTTGTATTCCTTACAACTTTCTTATCTTGATCTTACAAGTCACTAGGCATAAAGGGTGGGGGCCAATTCAGATTCATTCACACACAAACTCTGTTTTGAGGCACGCGGAAGCTCATATACCTCATGTTACTCTAATCCATATTCCAATTGGTTTTGTTTGGCCCCTAGATAGAAAGTTAAACTTTTTTTTATGATAATGTTGTTATGGTCACGAAAATTAACAAAGATGGAATAAAAGCGATTCCAAATTCTTTGATCCCATAGCCGAGGCACAATTTTTATCTGTATGAAGTGTTCTTGGGGCTTGGGCTTTATGGCACAAGATCCTAAATATATAATAATGAGGATTTTTCGTATGTGCCTTCACAACCCCTACTTTTCAGTTTTCAGACAATTAACCAATTTTACTTTGACTAATGACTATGAAGCATTTCCTCTACAATTTTGCTCGCCTCCTGATTCCATTCAATCTTTAGTGTATAAAGTATTTTTTATTTTCAACTTAATAAAATTGTTCTTCTTCATTTTGTACCTTAAGCTTAAAATTCGGGAATGTGTATTAAAATTCTTAAAAACATGTTTCCAACTTTCATCCAAGCATAGTCTTGTGCTTCAAGATGAAGCTGATCAATTTTGTTATAGACACTTATGAAACTTGTTAAATTGTTTAATCGTCACAGATGAAACCAACCTTCACCCTTCTCTTAGGTTTTCATTCCATTTATTCTCCATTGCCCATAACTAAAATGAAGAAAAATGTAAAGTACTAGTAACACGTTTTTGTTTATTAAGATAACTTTGATATATACAATATTAAACTCATTGTTTATATTATTTTCCAATTAAAATCGTCATTTAAATCAATAACTAGATCAATTTCAGTTATTGAGATAAAAGCAACGGTGACAAAGATAAAATGTTAGTTGTAATTGAAGACAACACAAACACTTCTATAATTACTATATTCAAATTTTTACGAGATTCATTAAATTATGTTGCTTTACTCTATATTTAGTAGGAATTTTCCGGCCAATTATAGTTATTTACGGATTTGGCTCCTTTCTTAATCGCGCACCTACCATATGCTATGATAGTAATGCAACCACCACAATCTCACCCAGCATATGGACCCTGGCCCCAACCACACCACTAGTTATTCCAGTTATCCAACTAACTATTTGAAAAAGGTTTATAATATATATACCTCCTCCATTATTTTTATTTTTTTAAAAAAAATTCTAAAATGTTCTTAATTTTTTTTATTCTTTAATTTTTTTAATTTTTACACCTCCAACTTTCAATTTACTAATTTCTTCTTTTTTTTCACACACTTCCTTCCTTTTCTCTTTCAATTTTCACATACACTCTCTTGTCTTTCTCCAATTCCCCACTTATTTTGATACGCAGTTTTAGTTTTCTCGATTTTTATATTACTCTCTTCTCCCCTCATCTCTTTCACTTTTTTACATACACCTAAACCGTAGAATTGGTACGAGACAACATTGTAAGTACATGCGACCTTTTCAACAGTTTCTATCAAATTAAACACACATTTTTTTTCTTCCAACACTTCCTCTTCTTTTACCCTCCAAAAACCTTAAAATTAAATTTAGTGTTATGAAAAAAGATATTCTAGAACACTAATTTCACTATTTCAAGGTACTTTCTAGGATAATGGAATTAGTGTTCTGGAAAAAAAGTTTGGAATTGTGTTTTTTACATACTTCCGAAAAGTATTTTCCAGAATAATATATTGTGTTTTAGAAAGTAGTTTTTCGAGAGTGTATTATTTTACATACTTCCAAAAAAGTACTTTCCAAAATGGTAAATTTATCTTAAACCCTAAACACTAAATTATGTAAAATAACACATTTCCGAAAATTGCTTCTAGAATAGTAAAATTAATGTTTCAAAAATTTACACTGGCAACCAATCATATATTTTAATAGTGTTATGTCAGTTGCTTATTTAATGAAATAATAATAAAATAAGCAACTTTAAAAGATATGATTGGTTGTCAGTGTAAAAAACTTTACACTGGCAATGTATAGATGATTAACTCATTTTGTAAGAGTATTTTTTGGAACACTAAATTTACTATTCCGAAAAGTATTTTATAGAATTATGTTAAAAATCCAATTTCGAAAAAAAGCTTTCACGAACACTAATTTTATTATTCCAGAAAGTATTTTCTAAAATATTAAAATTATTTGATTTTGTGTTTTTTAGACGTGTAAATGGAGGATGTGCTCAAAGAAAAAATGCACATTTGACTCGACACTTTTGACACTATCAAGAAAACCATACATGCTTATAATGTTGTCGAAAATTAGTTCTATATTTTGAATGCGTGTAAAAACTAAAAGAGATGAGGAAAAAGATAATAGTGAGAAAACTAAAAGAATAAGGGAAAAGAAAGTAACGTAAAATTAAAAGAATTAAAGTTACTTACCGGTATAATTGGGAATAGAGGAAAGGTAAAGAGTGCATGTGAAAATTGAAAAGAAGAGGGAAGAAGGTGTGTAAACAAGAATAAAAAAATACTAAATTAAATGTTGGGATGTAAAATTAAAAAAATATATATAAATTATAAAAATTAAGAATATTTTAAAATTTTAATTATTTTAAAAAAAAAACGTGTATATACCATTAGTCATTTGAAAATGGCACGGCCCGTTTCCAGAACATGGACCCAACCAATGCCCAACCTCGTGCCCAGCCTCAAAACTACTTGTGTACTTCTAACAGAGATATTACGTTGTTAGGTTTGCATATGGGGGCACACTTAACAATAAGCTCATTAACAATGTCCCTCACTTAATCACCTAGCACACCACATCTTAGACTATACATAATACATGTGCCCTCCATAATCTCATACTACTCATTACTATGTTGGTTCACTGATTTGGGCATCAAAGTCTCAGTAGGTACATACCACCTCATTAGATTACCCTAAAGAAGTAGCTAAAGCCATTGATCCTTGTATAGCTAAAGCCATTCATTTATCTCCTAACAACTTATGATGCATTCTTAAGGTTGAAGTAATTTTTTAAGCAAAGTTTGAAAACTAACCTGGTAATGAAAAAGAAAGATTCAACCCTAAAGATAATTTAGTATTGTTTGTTCAATACTCGGACAAAAATGAAACTGAAATGCACAAATACTTAAAACATCATGCATACTAGAGAAGAGAGAGAGAGAGAGACTCCATGCTTTTATGTATTTTAAAACAAATTATAAAAATCTAATAAGTGGTTTGTAATTGAAAGTGATTTAAAAATAATTATGAGAATACAAATATATTAAAAATGTGTACACAAAAGGAAAGTGCAATTATATATTGATATAGATTATAGATGTTATAGATGTAGACAGTTAATGTACTTAGCATTTTATTTAAATCATTAAATAAGGAGGTCAGTATCCTTCATATCATTCATCTAACGTCCATCAACATTACAATTACAATGGGCTTCTGTTCACATCTTTGTACAAAAGATATCGTGATCTTGTTTTACCTAGGGCAGCATACCTGATGACAACACATGTACAAGAACACGTTGTAAGACGACATGAACACATAATGTAACAATGAATCATTAAGAATGTAGTCATGTATAATATAATTTACCATTGTGGGACGAATGGTGCCATCCAAATGACATCACCCGCCTGAACTGGGTACCTATTCACAGAAGAAAAAATACAATGAAAAAACAAATCTGCCAGCTTTCAATGATCAGAATAAACAATATCCTATAACAAATCGATCTTGGAAAGACCATAAAAAATAGTATATTCTATCCAAAACTCACTGAAGAACACAGCCTAAAATCAAACCCAATATCTAGCATACAATGCTCTCAACTAGGGGTTTGTGGGACACATTGGGACACCCAGATTTTTTTTTATCTCCTATCTCTACCTGACTCAATTTTTATACGGTCATTTATTTAAATATGTACTTGAGCCAATCAAGATTCAATAATATATAGAACATGATCAAGTCAATTTGATTTATTAAAGTAATATATCAACCTTAACATTATATATAGTAATAATAATATATTTATTTTAAGTCGTTTCATGATGTTAAGTTGAATTATTGTTTTGTGTTAAGGAATTTTAATATTTGAGGATTTCTTATGAGTTTCAATAATGTTTGGAGTTTAACCCCAAGCGTGTGGTTCAGCGGTAGGAGTTGATCCACGTTTAAGCAAGGTCAAAAGTTCGAATCATGCCTTGTGTATGCAGCCGCGTTAAATCTTTGGAGTCAGCTATCCCACTCTTTTAGATGTCTCCCTCGAGAAGATTAGTCTCTGCTATCGGCAGTGGATACTCCAAGGACGAACCAAAAAAAATAATAATAAAAAAAGAATATAACTTAAATTAAGATATATTTCAAAATAAATATTATATATATATATATATATATATCATGTTATACAAAATAGTATCTATTAAATAAAATAAGAATTTATTATTAATACATATTTGTTCAAAAACTTGTATTTTTAAAAGAATAGGTCCGGAGGAAGGAGGATACCAAACATAACTTCAATCTGTCCTCAAAATACATCTAGTATAATTTCTAAAACCTCAACCCATCAAAATCAACCTCAAGTTGGGTCAGGTTAGTGTGATGAGACGGGTCATATACACCCATACTCTCAAGCAAGAAGCACAATCATTCATACCAAACCAGTTAAGTTCAAATAGCCTCTAACACCATTAGTAGCCAACATAGGGCCGCCAAGATCCCAAATTCAACCCAAAAGCTCGAGATTTATAGGCATAGAACAAAGCAATAGACTTTGTACACACCATTCATAGTGCTTCCACATAGGCCAAGTGAAACTTCCTCTTTCAATGCAGCAGTGCCCATTAAGTTTAATGGAAACAAAAATGCCACTATCTAGAACTCCAAGCAACATTCAGATCAATTTTTTGAAAGGTTAGGTCTAAAACTCTTACCAACTATCACCTAAACGATAAATGCCTTGCCCTTCCAATAGCAGCAAACCGTGCTGGTTATAATGGACCTCCTGCAAAAGCCACAAAATTAATAAAAAAATTTAAGAGCCTTCAAAACTTTAATTGGAAGATAAACTAACTTTCTCCTAGACTCGTATATGAATAAATCTAAGGAGAAGTGTACCATAGATCCTAACATTAAGAAGAAAACGCCCTGCTGATTTCAAAAATAATTTCATGGAAGGGCAACTGTATTAAGGATGTGAAAAGAGAAATGAAGAACAAGAATTATGTGGTTCCCCCACCATAGGTTACATCCACGAGTAAGTGAAAGAAGGATAACACTAGAAAGATTATAGTAATTATGATCACTCTCATCTTGTTAGGAGAGAAAAATTATCCCCATCTATCAATAGGAGTAAAACCACCTAACAATTTCCCTCTAGAAACTATAAAAAAAAATATATAAAAAAAAGCTACACGGGAAGATATTGAATAAAATGGGGATGATACAAAACATCATTCAAGCCTCCCTTATAAGGGCTTCAAGAATGAGCTTTGACCACAAATTAAATGTGACTAGAATCTGACCAAGAAGGATAGTCAGTCATTTACTTCTTGGGCAATGTTTATTTAGACATTATCCATTGATTTGTCCAACATTCCCCTACTTGAAGACTTTGATTTTTAATTATGTCTTCACGTGCTTTCAGCTTTACTATTCATTGAATGAAATTCATTCAACACTTGTCATCTTTGCACTATTTATGATTATACGGTAGGTAAAGCTACAACTATCTATAATTTTGATAACCAGCTTACAACTCAACCTGCAAGAATGAACACATAGCCCATAGTGGATTTTCTTTTTGTTGAGATCTCTTGCAAAATCCAAATTTCACCCTTCATAACATAATGCAACATGTGAGGTTCCTTTGATACATCTCAAATCCTTTTCATAAAACTCCAATGTTCTTTATGAAGATTTCTCATGTATCGACCAAACACTCTCATTGGTTGTGCAATGTCTAGTCTTGTACATATCATGGCAGACAGTAGGCTTCCCACTATTGAAGCATATGATACTTTAGACATTTCCATCAAATTTGCTTCACTGCTAGGACAAATATGGATAATTTGTTATTGTTTGGAAGTGGGGAATAGTTCGTCTTGCAATCTTGCATATTGTAGCACCTCAAATATTTCTTGAAATTTCTTTTGAGAAAGCAAAATCTTTGTAACTTTTCCATCTTCATGAATTTGCATCCCTAAAATTTTGTTTTATGGTCCCAAGTCCTTCATATCAAACTCCCTAGCCAATTGTGTCTTCAATTCTTGGACCAGATCTTTATTGGGACCTATTACCAACATGTGATCCACATATAATAGCAAGATATTGAAATTATTATCAAAACTATTACAATAAATACAATGGACTGAACTAAGTGTGTTGCATGATTGCATCCAAGGCTAATAACAAAGAAATCAAACATCTTGGCACCTGTTTTAGACCAACAAATATTAGGTTAACCTATAAACCAAGTTTCCTTTTCAATGTTCTTCAAAGCCTTTATATATTTCTTCCTCAAGCTCTTCACAAAGAACAGTCGTTTTAAGATCTAGTTCAAGATATAAATCAAATGCAACACACATGGTCAAAACTACTCTAACGGTGGAAATTCTGACAATTGGAGAGAATACCTTATTAAAGTCAATACCTTTTTTCTCAACTTAGCCTTTGACCACCAATTTTGCAAAATATTATTCCACTTGGTCATTGTCATCTTATTTGATCTAGTATGCCAATTTGTTCCCTTATGGGGGTGATGAACTGATGATGGAGATCCACCTATGGAGATCTTGTAGGGTTGAGTTTGGCCTTAAACCCAAATTCTAATAGATACCACTATTGGGAAATTTCAAATCATAATTGACTTGCAACAAAAGTTTATAAGAAAAGAAATGAACAACAAGAATTATGTGGTTCCCCCACTGTAGGCTACATCCATAGGAAAAAAGAGGGATCACACTCGAAAGACTATAGTAATTTCAAATTCAATCACTCAACTTGTTATGAGAGAATAATTATCACTATCAATAGATGTATAACACCTTACAATTTCTCTCTAGAAACTATAAAGAAAAGCTACATGAGAAGAGACTGAATAAAAATGGGGATGATACAAAGCATCACTAAAGTCTCCCTTATGTAGGCTTAAGGAATGAGCTTTGATCACAGATTAAAGGTGGCTAGAATATGCCAAAGAAGGATAGTCATCCATGTACTTCTTGACCGTCATTTATTTAGCTACTAAGCATTGATTTGTCCAACAAAAAAGAGGTAATTTATCATCATATCCCCCCACTGTAAAGACCCACGTTTTTAATGCAGCTACAAGGTATAATATTCACATCAGTATTGTACAGGTAGAGAAACAAATTACCTTTACATTAAGAAATTCTCCAGGTTGAAAATCCATTATCTGCAGCCATGGGTACATCAGTAACATTTAACCAAAATTTACCAGGAACCATGGTCATATGAAAATTGGATAAAATCAACGAATAACAGACTGCCAGAAGAATAGCTTTCCAGATTGAAAATAAATAGCGATGAATAACCATGGTCATTATGAAATTTACATTAAGAAATTCTCCAGGTTTAAAATAACATGAGAGATTTGAGCTTACATGGATATTGAAGTCATATGCCAAAGATGTTGGAAGTAGCTTTCGCAGTTCAAAAATCTGATAATTATAGAGAAAGAAAAACTGTTAAAAAACTTGGGATACAATGAATAGTGGTTCAAAAACTTATGATAGATAGAGAAATAGAGAGCAGAGACATCTGATTTTTGAGGTAACCCCAACAAATGGGGAATTTCTAATATATCACAATTGTATTACCTACATACCAAAAGCATACAGTGACTTGTTTCAATTGTTAAACATGGACTGTCAAATTAACATGAAAGAAGTTATATGATTTGACAGGTGTAAGATTCCCAGAAAAGAATAATGACATGTTCAGAGTAATAAGCATACTCTCAAATTAAGATAAGAAGCGACAAGAACCCAAAGCAAATAAGAATTGCTACAGACAATGACATTAATAGCTATAACAGTGGTATAAATGTTCATTTGTGAACTGATAGAAACCTTAGGATAAACGGACAACTGCATTATTGATTGAAAATGGAAGGAGCATTATAAGATAAACCCTTGTAACTTGGCTAGGCTTTACTTACCCTCCGACCGAGTCAAATTAGTATGAGACGAAGCCTTAGGACATTGGTGTGAAATAAAAAAATAAAAAAGATAAACCCTTGTAATCCCAGAACAGAAGCTCCTCAGAATAAAAGGTTCCCTCTCTTCCCAAGTCAGAGTATACACTCTAGACTACCAAATTGAAAATACAAACTCCACAACAGCATGCCTTTTCTTCTCCCTCCCTATTTATAGTCTTATATAAGACTAAGAGATTTCATTATCTGTTTTCTTTTATCTCTCCGTAACTAACTCTTCCCTCCTTTCCTATTTCCCACCTAAAGTGATTCTAAGTCGGTCTTGTACATTTGGGCTTGTGGTCAAGAACCTATCATGAACTATAGTCTTAAATTGGAAAATATAATGGCTGAATTTAAAACAAAAAAAAAAAAAAAAACGAAGGCAAACTAAAGCAAAATGCTTTCAGTATATTGGAGTCAAAAACTTACCTCGCCTGGAGTTTCAAGGAGTGGTTGCTTATCAGTTGAATTAACCACTGGCTCTGGGACATGATTTGGCAGCTGGGTATATCTAACAGATTATAAACATTTTTCATAGTCAAGTCACTAGAATATTCATGACTGCTTACTATTTAAATGCATGCAACAAAAATAAGACCTAATCCTTGAAAACTATACCAACCTATGTTGTGAGTTGTGACTAATTATAAAAGAATCTTGAAATATAAAATGGATTCATCTATCCATTTTCATTTCATGATCATAATTAATTGCATGAATTCTCATAATGGCAAGATGGTGGAGATGAAACATAAATTACACATAGGGGAAATAAAAAGTACAAACCTTCGTTCAAATACCACAATAGTTGCAAAAGCATCACATTCAATTGAATGTTCAAAATTTGGAGGAAAATAAGCATACGAATCCACCTGGAATTAAAACCATGGTATCAATTTTTTATAGCCTTTATAGAAAATGTAGTGATTATCTAAATTATATGAATAAGGTTATGGTGGTATTATATTTCCACTAATCTTGTTTCCATTGCACGCTGCACATAGCTAAGCAGTGTGCAAATAGACTAAGGTTAATTATAAGCATCTACTAGAGGGAAATACATATTTCTAAGATTCCCTTCTGTCACATCACTTTCCTGTTATCCTAATAATTAAAGCATAACAATAAAAAATTGTAATAGCATGGTATAAGTAAAAAATATATATAAATAAATAAATGATGAAACATCAGTCATTCTTTATTTTTATATAAAAAAACATTTCAGGAATTGTATCTTGACTTTAAGCCCAATTTTAAATGCGTCTGGAACTGCACCTAGCACCAAGGTTTAATAATGAGCTGGATCTCAGAAAAAAAAATGTAAATAAAATTAGCAAAAACAGCAATAAGAATACATCATGTAATACATTTCCTGAATCTAACATAATCAACATAGAGCTTCTCCTACAAGTGCATTTCTCCTGATATGTAGTTTAAGTGTAGGCATAGTTCGAAAAAAGCCTTCTCATGATATGTTTCAAAGAGTACAACTGGAATTAGGAGGGCACGAATTTATAGTAATGAGTGGTATGTGCAACTCTCTAGTGTATTTAGCAGTAGAGGAAGGCCCATATTTCAATGGTTTCTCTTTACACTTGATTTTTTTAAAGGACAAGATGGTGTTCAAAGCTTCCCTTTGGTACACTTTACTCATGGTTTTTTCAAGAGAACTGCTATTACTGATATGGAAAGAGGTTGGAAGATTTGTTTCATTTTGAGCCAATTTGGCTCCCTGCTATCTTCAACTGTCTCTTTTAAGGAGGATATTTAATTCCCCTTCAGATTCTTTTTTCTTTCTAACAATAGTTTCTTCTTTTATTACTTTAAAATAAATAAAATAAATAAAAAAACTAATAGTAGTTTAAAAAATACATTAACTAAACTTAAGATAAATATAAATACCAATTTTAACAGTACTCAAAATTAGTACTGACAGAACAACTTCATTTACATAATAATCATAAGCTTATTACCTTCAGTAGTTGGCTAACACCAGCAGAATTAGTGAGGGTGATAGCACCTTGGAGCACAAAAATCAATCTACACATAACAGAACAATATTGTAAATACATCAAACAAGAATTTAGAGCCAGAAACAATGTCAAAACAGTATCATGGAAAAGAAATTGAGGAGGGGTAGAATTCAGAAACTGAAATAACAAGTTCACAACCTCTCCACATCATGCAGGGGTAGTCCTGATCTTGAATTTTCTGGAAAAGGGGCAAAGCATATATTAGAACTTAGAAGTGTACATAAAACATCAAACGTCACAACCGAAATGCCTATCACTGAGTAAAAGGAAAGTATCAAGGTAGACTTGGAGGATATGATGGAAAATTGGAAATTGTATCCCAACATCTTTATGATCCCTAAAAAGAGAAGCAAATAAGATATTGCCAAACAGTAAAAAAATTAGGCCTAAACAAAAGAAAAGTGGCAGGGAACCAGACATAATGGCACCAAATAATGAAATAAAGATATTTTGTTAAGGTGCAGTTACAACTTCCAAGCCATTCCAGGGCATTGTAGAGTTGAAGTATGAGAAAGTAGTTCTTGAACCAGCGTGATGTGAAGCATTGGACCAAAGAAACATTATTTTGGATTATACAGAAAGAATAATCCTCTGTGAGGGATGAAAGCTGATTTTTTGACATGCAATTACCTTTACAAAGTAATTTTTCTTTCATTGTCATTCCAAGTATTAAACATTTTCCATGCCACACTTCTTTTTTTCCAATAATATTAAGGAGGCTTGTAAAGAGGCTTTTTTTCATTTGTTAATTGCATCAATTTTCCATGCCACGCTTCTTTACAAAGAGGCTTTTTTTTCAATAATATCCCACATGCTTCAGATATTCAAGGAAAGAAGAAAGCGGCTTCCAAAATATGTATAATCATATATGAGCAGAAAATGGCATCACAAAATTAGCGTGTTGCAAAATATGTAGTCTAGAATAATTGATTCATGTATGCTGAAAAAACAATATCTCATCTGATGAGAAGATACCCAGGTAACTTCATAAATATAATAGATTCAGTGAAATAAGTCATAATCAAACCTTTCAACTTAGCTAGGTACATTACAAAGTGTGAACCCATATGTGGTGAAATTAAATATGCCCCTGATGTGTTGATCCTGACAAAGAAATTTAAGTTACGACACAACAAGAGGGCAATGAAGAAGCTTAAACATCTTAACAAAAACAAATGAGGAAAGTTAAGAGTACCAATCGGGCAATGGGCTATATACATGACTTTCTGGTGTTATCAAAGCATGATCGCTCTTATAAACACTACGTGTGAATCCAGGCAAATCTGACAAACAAAAGCACAGTAAAGTCAGATCAATACAAGTTCACAATATAATTCTTCTCTTGGAAATAGTTGAACACTCAACAGTAACATAAACTCAACTGATATCTAAACAACCTTTTTATATAGTTCACCAGAAAAAAAAATTATATATATATATCGCAACTCAAGTATCCTAATAATCAAGCCCGGTAGTTAAGTGTCACATTTCACCACTTAAGCCAATTCTTTCAGCAACCAAAAATAATAATCTCACAGCAATTCTGGACGCCACAACTTTATCTTGGGAAAAAGTCATGTGTTCAAAAGAAGGAAATGAAAATGAGTCAAGCAAATCAGAAACCATGAACTTCTTGGGTTTGAACAGGCTCACAAGCCTGCTACAAAATGTACAATTTCATATGTTTTACCATTATGCACCTAACACTTTTTGCTTACATTTACTTAATTTATTTGCAACTAAAATGTATTTTGTGTTCCCTACAAAGACCCCCCTTCCATCATTAAAAACAGACGAAACTCCCATTTATTGAAAAACGAAATCAACCGAAACCAAAACAGTAACCACCAGCAGACTATATTTGCTTCCTGCCCCATTAAACAATTCACATCAACATAATTATAACTTTACCGTTTTATAAGATAAGGAGAGGAAAAGAAAAACAGAATTAATATAACAAAAATAGATGACAAACCTTGAAGGTGAACAGGAGAGAGAGTGGGATTGTCGACTTTCCAATAAAGAGGCTTTGACTTCGATTCAGTGCTGAGCACTGAAGGAGCAGAGCAAAACCCTTCTTTAGCCAATGCATATTTAAACAAGCCTGAAGAAGCAACAAAGCATAACTGAAGTCATTTCCTAATTCCTACACTCTTCAACCACCACTTTCAAAACGCCTCCATTTAGCAACCAAGAACAACCCACAAAACATTAAAAAAATAAAAAAAAATAACAGTACAGTAGATATATTAGGGTGTTGCTGCCTTCATTTTCTTTATGGCATCCAAACAGAGTACAAAATGAAACAGTGGAAGAAGAGAGAGTACCCAGAATAAGGAGGAGGACAATGATACTCCGCATCTTCGGATGAGAAAGTGTGTGTTAGGACTGAGAAGAAGAGTGGCTCAAATGAAAGTATGTGGATGAGTGTGTCACAGTCACACTGAGACACTGATTCCTCAAGAGTCAATACCTACAAATACAGTACCGCATTGCAAGAACAAGTTGATTAAGGTTTGGGCCTTTATTTATTTTTACTATTTATTTTCTCTTACAGCCCGTTTCTTTTTACTTTTAATTTATAATATATTAAATAATTCTGAGTTGAATACATTCTTATTTTTTATTCTAATATTTCTTAAATTTTAAAATTTTAGTTTTATGTATCTATATTTATAAAATAATAATTCTAATAGCAAAATTAAGATGCCTGCACGAAGATAATTCGATAATTAGAAAACTTTAAATCAAAATTTGAAAATACTTGAAATAAGAATTCATGCAATTTCCTTAATCTATTTTTTAACTTGAATTTTTTTTTTCATGAGAATTGTAGCAATATTATCAACGTTGTTCTTCTTCATAAAATTTATTGTTGAGTTGATATGAAGAAGTACAATAATTTCAACTAAATTTTTCTAATTAAAAAATTTATTTCTCATTGGCCAAAGTCATAACCATGATTGTTACAACTTTCATGACCCATAAAAAAGGATTCTCCATATTCTAAAAGCTTTGAAATCTCATTTTATTTCTTATTTTCAAGTTTGTTGTTTCTAAAGGTCACTTTATCATGAGTAATTTCTATTATGAGCTCATTTGAATCACATTTTAGAATTTGAAAATGTCTTTTCAAGTTACTCATTTTTCAAATCTTCTTTATTTAAAATAGCGTACGTGACTTTTTGCTTCTATTGAAAAACCTTTATTTCTCATTTTAATGGACATAAGCTTATACTTGGAAGGACAAAAAATTGTGCATCCCATATTTTTAAAACATAAAGAATAATTCTTTTCAACCATTTGTCGCGCACTCAAAAAGTTTTGATTTATTTTAGGCACAAATAAAACATCTAAAATATATTTTATACCTAAAGGAATTTCAACAGTAACAATCTTTTACCTTTGACATCAACACTTTCTCCATTATCTATAGTGACTTTGGAGATTTGGGACCAATTTAATTCCTTGATAATTGTAGCATCAGGAGTCATATGATTTGTGCATCCACTGTCTATGAGTCATGTCTCTTTGCTTTTGCTTATTGAATAAGACGTAGCAACAAATAGATGTTCCTCATGTTGTTTTTCATGCTCTGCAATTTGGGCTTGATGTTCTTGTGGGTTTGTATTATTTTTACAAACCTTCTCCACATGATCAAACTAATTGCATGCCCTACATTAATGTTTGGTTTAAACCAACAAAAAATTTCGATATGATTTTTCTTCTTACAATGACGGCATGGTGAAAACTTGTTTTTCCAACTTTTTCCATTATTGTTTTTTTCCTATTTTTTTTTGCCTCTTGTGTATGTCATAAAAGCACCTTTAATATTTTCTTTCATCCTTGAAGATTTCTTTTGTTTAGTAGGTTGCAGATTTACATGTAATACTAGAGACCGTAAATAAAATTGTAGATTTACATGTAATAAAAGAGAAAAAGAATTAGAAGAAACTAATAACATAAAACAAAAGTTAAAAATAATACCAATAAATTACAAAAGTTAAAAAATTAGTGTCGATTTTTCTAACACTAACATAAATTAAGTTTAGTGTCAAAAAAGTCAACACTATATTTAAATAATAGCGTCAATTTTTCCGATACTAAATTTAATTTAAATTCAGTATCAGAAAAATCGATATTACATTTTAGATTGACTGACAGTATTTACATCAATTATTAGTATTTACATCAATTATTAGTTGACACTTATTTTTCATAGATATTTTAACATTTTCTTATAGTGAATTAAACCAAAGAAAAAACCTCTTTCCAAATAGTTCGCCACACCCAAGCGCATTGACCTTGTCTAAACTATATTCATGAATTTGATTTGAAGAGGAAAAAAAAGTACTAAATTTTGATGTCCTGACCAGACCAGTGTGATGAATCGTATGTGCAATAGCATACTTTTTATTATATTTTAAAATAGTGAAGTTGTTATTTCAATTTACGTTTGTGTACCAAAAAACAAATTACGTTTATTATATATATTAGTAGTAATTAAGAGTTATAGTTGACAGCCAACGATTTGATGATTCAAAACAGGAAAGAATGGGATGAGGAGTTTATATATGCAGTTTTGCCTTCACATGTGGCAGATCGTGTAAAGCGTATGTTCATTCCGCGAGAGTGTTGAAGTGAAAGTGTTTATCTCGAAGGCTTGTTGTGAATGTTTGCCCACAAGATTCGTGTTACAACAAAGAGGTATTCCTTGTCTCTAGTATGTGTTTGCTGTAATCACGATATAGAAAATTGTTGGCACTCTTTAGTTACTATTAATTCCTGGTGTAACATAGTTGATAATTGTGAAATATGAATACATATTTTTATTTAATTTAAATAGTTATTAATATATTTTATGTTTATAAACTTTGTTTTTATCACAAAATATTTAGTTAAGAGATAATTTTAATTTTAAGGTTTAATTATTTAAATATTATGTATTTTTAATATTTTTCTTTGTTGAGATATAACACGAGGAGAAATAATTTAAAAGCTACAAATATCATAAGGAAATCATAACTCCAAATTACATAGAAAACCACTATGAGCTAGTAAAACTTGTTAAAAACGACCAAATCATAGTTTGAAACAAGCAGCAATAGAGAGCGTCCTTGGAAGAGCACCGGAGCACACATATGCTCACTCAAAGCAAACCACAAATCTGACCTAAAAATTCATTAGAGAATATTATAAAAATACGATCTCAAGGAGGTCTCTATATCCATTTTTACTTTTACAAACACAGTTCTAGAGAGATTATGGAGAGTTTTGTGAGGTTACTCTTGTAATTACATATTGCTCAAAGGTTATTCTTCTATTGTGTAATCCTTAGTCATGAGTGACTTAGTCCTTGATGACAACTTCTAGTAGATGTTGATCAAGTTTACCAATTAGAGTGGTTCCAAGTCTCTTGATCTTTCTTTGAGTTCCTTCTTTGTCAAGATTGATTGAAGAACACCTTGGGAAGGTGCTAAACCTCTGGAGTTGGAAGCACTCAAGCAAAGGACTCAAGTAATTGCTCACAAAGGTGGATGAACCTAGAGTAGAAATTTCCTGAATTCCTAAAGTTCTAAGCTCTAAGTTGAGAGGAAATTTGCAACAATGCATAATGCTCTGTATATGCAACTCAAAGTGATTACAAAGAATAGAAGGAAGCTTAATTTATAGGCAAGAAGTGTTAGAAATTGGTGCCACCCACCAAGCTTAATCTTAGGCGCTGAAAATTTGAAATTCAAATGGAGTTTGAATTTCAAATTCTTTTGCAGCCACATGCTAGCCCATGTATAGGTCCAACCTCATTTAGGTTGCATTTAGACTTAATTTTGAGGTATTTGGGGCAGATTAAGTGCAGTCCACCTTAGGTTAACACATGTACACCAAATGCATCTCAAATTAAATCTAAATGTAACCTAATTTAGCTATGTTTGCATAATTAAGCTTTTCCTCTCAAAACCTACTCTAATGGTCTAAATACAATGGTCTAACTATTCTAAACATTAGAAAAAAACAAAAGAAATAAAATGAGACCAATATTGGATACCAAAATATCTAAGGTCCATTAAGCCCAAAAGTAGCCCCAAAAACCCAAATGTATGTGGCCCAAAATACAAGACCAAAAAGTATGAAACCTATACTAATATAATACATACTAAATGATGGATAATCATGATCTCAAAGTGTGACCCATGTGAAGAGCAACTTAGGTCCACCAAGCCCACTAAACATGAGAAAATAATCTTCAATATGTTTGAAGAAAGGAGTCAACCACTTGATCAAGGGGTGTGTTCAATGATTAAAGAAGAAGAAAAAAACAAATCATGAGAAAGAAGAAAAAAAGAAACCAATAGTTTTGCTTGAGGAGAAAGTGACAACTCCAAGAGAACAAAGCTTCTATCTTGACCAACAAGTATACCGTTTTAAGAATAATTTTTAATTTTTTTTTGTAGGAAAATGGAAGTTTAATAAGTAGTTAGAACCCTATGTTATCAAGGGATACACATCTAAAGGAAGGGTGGAGATAGATGATTCAATTTCAAGGAGATGTTATAATAAGGTGAAAAAGGAAAGGGTCAAGCCCTATCTTGAGGGTAAACTAAAAAATAGACCTCAAATGGAATTTAAGGACTCTTGAAGGTCCTGTCATCCATCAAGCTAATGACGTTAAAAAAAAATAGTTGGGAGGCAACCAAGTAGGTAACATTATTCTTCCCTTTTTATTTTCATTATTTTCAATTTGCTACTATACTAATATACTCACTCAAAACGAGCTCCATAGTCACTTAAGCAAGTATATCATGAGCTCTCCAATGGCCTTTTTGTGGTCACTTGCTTAAAGTGAGCCCTATTCCTGCTCTAAGTGCCCAAAATACAAACCTCTTTGAGTTGATTCGCTCAAAGCAATCAAAGTTTGCTTTGAGCAAAGTTCAACTTGCTTAAGGCAACCATAGGAGTATCTTTGAGTGACCAAAAAAAGTTTTAAAAAAAATGTCTACTGCTATTTTTTTAGAGTTGTGTAGCTTACGTGACATGGTCATCTTACTTTGGAGGATCAAGATGCTGCTAGCCGTGGAGGAAAAATGGCAGAGTCATTTGAGAAGAAGGAGGATGCATAGGCTTGTTTGAGAGACTAAGTTTTCTTACTTTTTTCTTTTTCTAGCATTTTTATTTATTTTTATCTTTGAACTATTTTCTAATTCTTGCCTAAGTTGTATGTGTGACTCTAACCGGGATGTATGGGAATGTTAATTGAAGACAATCTTTATTATTAATCAATAAATAACTATTCTATTTGGTAAAAGCAAAATCTTTTGTGGTAATAGTGGAGGTGAAATTACTTGAATGTTTGTGTTTATTTCTCTAAGACTGGAAATTTTGGTATCAACATTTATGTTTTTCAAAAAGCATAATTGGTGAATGAGATATCCACAAATAGTAAGGATTGAGTGTCCGCATTCTCTTCTGTTCAATTGATTTTGCTTAAATCATGCAATTATGTGAAGTTATATGTATCGAGACATGATCAAGGCAATTTTTTAAATATTGTTTCAACCACTAGCCAAAAAATCAACCTAAATTTTTTTGTTAATTTTAATACTTGTTACCCCTTTGAGCCAAACACTAAATTTCTTCTTTTAGAACACAAGCCAATTAGAAAAACAAATTGTTACCCTATAACTTTAGGAATAAGGAGTACACTTTAACTAAAAATAAGTGAAAATGGTTATAAGTTTGGTGTGGGCATACACTATACCCACAACGTAAGTAAAGATTCTAAGTTTGGTATGGGTATGCTACACCCACAAAAATACCAGAAAGGTTAGTGATGACCCAAACACTAACATAAAGTTGTAAGTATCCTTCTGCCAAAATAATAATAAATAAATAATATAAATAATGGTATAAATAAAAAGCAGAAGAAAGGTGCAGAATTTGAAATTGAAAATAGTGCTTTGAGGAAATCTAAAAGGAATTAAAGTGATAAGTAAAAAGAATACAACTAAGTGTTCATCTTAACCTTAGGTGTTCTTGATTTCCAAAAAAATAATGAATTTTTGGTTAGCTCGACCACATTACAAGCCAAAATAGTGATTTGTACACACTTTTGATTTTCACACAATTGTTCTGAAAAAGAAAGATGAAGAGAAAATTAAATTGGGTGGTGTTGAATACGTGAATTAAGTGAACCACTAACTACATAATTACACTTGAAATTACAATGACAAAGAGAGCAAGTGTATTGGATTATATAAATTATGAGTGTCATAAGAACTAGTCTCTTAGAAGTTTCTTCACGCATTTCTTGTGAGGATCTAATATTATTACTACAAGGACAATATGATTGTTTGAATAGTATGGAAAAATACTATTGAAAAATTCGTTCATATTAAATGTTCCTAATACATCTTAAGTAAGATTGTGTTTAATGTTTAAATTGCTTGAGGACAAGCAAGATTTTAAGTTTGGTGTATTTTGATAATTGTTAAATATGCATACATATTTTATTCAATTTAAGCAATTATTAATATATTTTATTCTTATAAATCTTGTTTTTGACCAAAAAATACATAGTTAAGAGTTCATTTCAATTTTAGGATTTAATTATCTAAATATTAGATATTTTTAATGTTTTCTTTATTGAGATATAATGGAGAAATAATTTAGAAACTACAAATTTCAAAGGGGAACCGTAACTCAAAGTTACATAAAAGACTGCTCTAAACTAGCAAAATTCGTTCAAAACAACCAAATCATCGTTTGAAATGAGCAACAACAGAGAGCACCCATGAAGGATCACATCAACTCACTCAAAGCAGGCTACTTGAGTGCTCTAAGCGAGCCATAACATAGATCATCATTGGAGCGCGTATATGCTTGCTCAAAGTAGGTTACATGGCCGCTTTGAGCAAGCATATCTGACCTAAAAGCCTATGAGAGAATATTATAAAAATAGGGTCTCTGTATCAATTCTTACTTTTACAAACACAATTCTAGAGAGATTAGGGAGAGTTTTTGTGAGGTTACTCTTGCAATCACAAATCGCTAGTCATTTGTCATGAGTGGCTAAGTCACTTATTGTGTAATCCTTAGTCATGAGTGACTAAGTCCTCTTTTGTTGGAAATTGATGTAGTTATTGTACAGATGTAATCTTCCATGTTTTCATTCAATATATTATTTTTATTCAATTAATCGCTTTTTACTTTGTATTTAATGTGTGCGTGTTTTGGCCAATGCATGATTTTATAATTTTAATCGAGGATGGGAAACTCTTTTAGAATTACGATCTAGGTAAAACACCAATAACATTTATTATCAAGAAATTGGAATAAACTTTATCAATTGACTTTTAATCTGTCACCTTAATGCAAGATTGTTTAGCAAACTTCACTGAAAAATTAAGATTTCTCTTAAACAACCTAAAATTTCTCATCTAAGAAATTAAGATTAAAATATAATTGTGGACTGTTGAATTAATTGTATAATTACCACGTTAAATGAAAATTGGGGATGATTTTACTTGGAGAATGTTAGTGAAATCAATCTTGCTCTTGTCATTATCTAAATTCAAATTCTTTATTATTTTGTCACATGTTTTTCTATAAAATTGTATTGCAATTTAAACAATTTAATTTTTTTTTATACATATGTTTAGTACCTGAATTATATTAAACAAGTATAAATTCAAATCTTTATGCATACGATAACTTGGATTTTTATCTTTTTTCTTACTTATTACAATTGGTATAGTTCTCAAATATGCATATAATTCTCTAATGGTTAAAACCCTATTTTAGTCCCTTATAATCTTTTTTTGTTTCAGTAACGACCCACCCTAGGTCATCACATCAATAACCAATATAACAACTAAAATAAAATAATATATAATTAAGAAAAGAGAGCAAAGGCCAGCTACACTAGAGTATAAATATAAAATGACGTGTAAATTGTTTTCATCAAATAAAACATAATTTTATAAAAGGGTCATCATCAGCAAGGTTATATAGTCATCCAAAAAGATAATGAATGTACAACATCATGAAAACATCAAAAGGGACACCCTAGGTGCTGGTCAAGCTCTAAGTCTAGCCACTTTTCAAAGCAGCTACCAAAAGACTCCTTACCATCCCAAATAGGGGTGTTCAAAAAAACCAAAAGAACCAAACTGAATTTAAAACCAAACTGAAACCACTTTAAAAAAACCAGAACTAATTATAATAAAATTGAACCAGATTTAATTTTTAAAATAAAACTTAAAAACTGAACCTATTTTTTTAAAAGTTTGGTTCACTAAAAACTGAACCTATTTTTCTTTCGGACTCGGACTCGCAGTCTGACGCTCTCTATATCTCTCGCACTCACTTTGAGTTTCTCTCAAACTCTCGGTTGAGGCTCTCGGCCTCTTGGCTCGCACATAAACCAGTAAAAGCAAATAACATATTTTAAAACCAGTTATAAACTTATTTATTTAAAGTAATTTAGTTTTAAAATAGTTTATTAAAGTGGTTCAGATAATTTATAAACCAGTTTATCTTATTAAAATAGTGTAGTGCAGTTCGGTGTAGTTTTTTTAAAAAACCAAACCATGCACACCCCTAATCCCAAAGCCTCACACCTGATCTGCTCCCCCACATAGTGAGATCATCATAATCCACATCATGGAAATATAAGGGTTAACACGTATAAAACCAACCATAGTACAATAAAATGAAATATCATTAAACTAGATATTCATCAACAGTATGTATCCATACCAAGGGGATGACAACATTATAACAAGTCATTTCCATGCCAAATATAAACAAATCCAATTTCCAATGTATACACATCCATGCCAATGCATACATATTCTATGATAATAAAGAATCCATAACCAATGTATACAATCCATACCAAATGCATACATATTTCACATCCAAATCAAAGTCACACCACTGTATAATCTCATGAAGTAGCCAATACATCCAAACCAAATGTTGACCTCAACACATCCAAACCAAGTGTTGAATTCGTGAACATGTCACCTGTCCATGTCACACACCCAACCTCTCATGGAAAATATACAGTTGGGTTACGTCGTCACGTAACCCTGGTGATCGCGACCACTTCATCCATCAGTATGACTCGGCCTTGCCCCCATACCGATAGTAAATAGAATACTTAGAGGAGTACTTCAGAATCCACCTAACATCTGAAGTGATTTATTATATAATCTTTGGAAAAGTTCCATATTGGAATCCTCACCATGGGACTCCCAAATTCCATATTTTCTCAAAGATTATATCCTGATTTCACCAAGAGATCTCCCAATCCATACCATAACCTTACTCCTCTAAGTCCTATTAGCTTTCCAAACTAAACACACATAGCATATTCCATAATTACATACAAAATTTTTGAAGTGTATGCATATGATGTGTGTTGTGGTGTGTTCAAATGTATTGTTGGATGTTTTGTTTGACATGGTTTGAATGAGCTATATGTTGGTTTTGGAGTGTTTAGCTTTTGAATATGGTTGTGGTATAACTTTGTATGATATAAAATTGTTTCCTATGCTTATATGTTTCCAAACACTAGCTTACCCTTTGTTTCCATGTGATTTGAACTACAATGATTATACATTATATGGGAGCAGACCAAGGCTAGACTGAAGGTGCAATTATTGTTTGGTGGAGGGATCCTTTTGTTGGTGTTGGTGTTACTTCATGTAACTTATATAGGTGTACCAGGGCGACACTAAGTTATATAATTTACCTTTAGAATTGTTGTATATATATGTATATGATTTATATCAATACAATGGTGGCACTTTCATACTTATATTCTATGTATGCAGTGACTGTAACGACCCACCCTAGGTCATCACATCAATAACCAATATAACAACTAAAATAAAATAATATATAATTAAGAAAAGAGAGCAAAGGCCAGCTACACTAGAGTATAAATATAAAATGACGTGTAAATTGTTTTCATCAAATAAAACATAATTTTATAAAACTCTAATTGCATATACCTCTTGGACTTTATTGTTAGAAAGGTTTAAAAAGAAACAATACAAACTAAGGATATAAATGAGGACATTTAGAATAACACACTATAAAAAGATCATGTCGTATTGTGGCTACCTAACTGAGGGAGAAGTCAATCCAGATACAGTTCTTGCTCTTTCACTGATTCCCTCAACCGTCATCTCCAAGTATAGACATTCCTTTAGCTCAACCAACACTTTGCTCATGTCTGGCCTTTCAGCTGCAGTTGGTGAAGTGCATAACATGGCAATTTCTACAAATTTCCATGCAGAACTAACTTTGAATTCTCCCTGCAACCTAGGATCAACAATGCTTTGAATATCTCCTCTTTCAACTATAGGAACAATCCAGTGAAGTATGTGAATGTTTTTCCCGTGTACTCTTGCTAGTGCTTTTTGGCCAGTGACTAACTCGAGTAGAATTATTCCAAAGCTGTAGATATCACTTTTCTTATTTGAGTTTCCAATTCTCTGGAATCTATTTAGAAAACAAACAATTAGACTGTTTAACTAAAATAAATCCACTGTTTGACTAAAAGTTTATGCAAAATGAATGCCAGAAAAGTATTGAATTCTAGCGAATATAATACATTTTTTTATACTATTACTTACTGTGGATCAACATAACCTAGTGTACCAGCTGGACGAGTTGATATATGAGAATCAGTATCATTTCCAAAAGCTCTACATAGACCAAAATCAGCTATCTTGGCATGCATGTTTTGATCTAGTAATATGTTTGAAGTCTTCAGATCTCTGTGGATAAGAGGTTGTTTGCATCCATTATGCAAATAATCTAGTCCTGAAAATCCATACGAAATATTAGGTAAGGGCACAAGAGGCTATAAATATATTATGTAAGCAAATCGTATACCCTGTGCTGCATCAACTGCGATATCAAGTCTCTCAGTCCAGTTTAAGACATCTGGATTTTCCACTGCATACAAATACAGGTTAACATGCTCACATTATTTTGGTTCATAGGGGTAAAAGAAAGAGGCATCAGCCTTGCAAAGTTGCAATTCTGTAAAAAGCACTCTGAAAAATGGAAAGCATCTGAAAAATTCCTTCCTCTTGGCCTGTCTCCCTGCCTTATTCACAATTCTTGTTATGATACCATAAATCATGGTGTAATAAAACGTTTATCTAGGTTTGCATTCAACCTCTATTCATGTTATATGTTATTTTAGGTATGAAAAAGGGTTCTCACTCAAGTTAAACAGTAAAACCTATATAAATTGGACGAATTAAACTATTATGCATGCGGACATATTGTGATTAAATTACCAGATAAGTGTTTCTGGAGATTTCCATTGGCCATGTATTCATAAATCAACGCTTTAATTTCACCTTCATCACAGTACCCAATGAGAGAAACCAAATTTCTATGATGAACAGTCATTAAATGTTGTACCTGCATTTTAAAATTTAGCTCTACCAAAGTTAACTAGAAAAAGTATTGCATGATTCTCCATGTAAATATTACTTCACTAAATTCAGAATTTAGTTTATTGTGTTATAACTTGAATGCATTATCTAACCTCTGATCGGAATTCCTTGTAACCTTGCATTGATAATGGTGAAAGCACCTTAACCGCCACATTAGTGTGATCTTGTAGAATGCCAAAGTGAACTTTTCCAAATCCTCCTTCTCCAATAGTAGTTTTGAAATTATCAGTAATTTTGACAATCTCAGCGTAAGTGAATGCTCGATGTTTTGATTTTAGTGAACTGGTATCAGAATGCACAACTGCAGTAGAAAAAAAATCCACATTAAAACATTTTCGAGAATGTGAAAAAAAAATAATAAAAAAATGAATAGAAATTTCGTGTTGAGATTCTTTTATATATATATA